CGGCCGTTCGAATGTGGCGAGGAGGCATGTTCAGCCGGACGAGTAGCGGGCGACGCTCTCTCGATCGGCGTGCAGCTTCAATGCCGGCAGTGAGAGGTCGCGTCCGTCTGCGCCGCCCTCCTGTCCGGTCAAATCGCGGGCATCAATGTTGGCCGCTGGAAGCTCTAGGCCAGTAAGAATGCGGCGCGGCGTGTGGGTTGAAAAGCGCGGGAGGGGCGGTTTGGGGGTTTGGTTGTGTCAGGACGATCAGAAGCGGGCATGACAGCGGTCCTAACGCTCGCAATGCTCCTCACATTTGTCTTTGATTTGCGAGAGGAAGCACATCCAAACCGTCTTGTAGACTGATACAAAGCCGCATCAGATGACTTTCGCGATCCAGACAACACGATTCAGACGTATGCGGCCAGTTTGCGGGTTGCCGTTGAAGATGCAGGATCATCATTATCGGGACAGTTCCCTACGGAATAATCTAGCTGCCGTGCGTGTCCCACGGAGGAATCTGGTAACAGCAGACTGATCAAATCATCTGTGGTACGTCTGGCTCTTGATCGATCGTGGCCGTGCATGTACCTTTCGGGTGTTAAATGTTGGGTGCTCGCCTGTTTCAACAGGACTCGTGGATCATCCACTCGGTACTGGTAGGTAGCTGCAGCCGGCTAGCTAGCGCGTGCGCCCATCGATCGATCAATCAGTTCCATCTTGACGGACAGCGAGAGGAAAAGGGTTAGTTTTTACGATGGATGGCACATCGGTCAATTTGCAGCTCGTGGTCGATTGGAGCCGTGCGTAGGTGCGTGCGTCTCATTGACTTAAGTGGCACGCGAGCTGCGTGACTTGGTCGTGTCGTCGCCTAGGATCAATTAGGAGATCGTACGGGAACGCGACTCTCGTCGATCATGGTACTTTAACCAGTCGGCAAACTGAAAAATCTCGACCCAAACGTACGTGTGAATGGTGCGATAGATAGGATATTTCTTTACAGAAGAAGTACTAGTAATCAACGAGAAACTACCGACAGTACCAAGCGTACGTACAAGCTGTACACATCGTCGATATGTGCGAGGTCGACTCAGGAAGCAGCAAAACAATATAATCATCGCATTCGCGTACATGGATTGGAGTTGAAAAATGTTAACTAGGGTGTGTCGCTCTCGGCGCCATAACTAGCTAGTGAGAAACTACCGACAGTGCCAACTGCCACGTACTCCTACCTCAGTCTTATAAGCTAAACTAGACTAAAAAAAGTCTTATTTTTTATATGTTTTTCACTAAAAAACGTCTTATATTCGGAGATAGTACATCCTTCGTCCTAGTTTCTCGTTTTTTGGAGTATGTACGTAACGTGTGCACGCAAACCTGTTGGGCTCGTTTGTCACCTTGAGTCTCGAGAAAGAACTGACGGTGCATGTCGCCGTCATCTTCTCTTCTTTTCCATTCCCCTCGACGTCACCAGCATAGTAGCATGCACCGTGCCGTCTCCGAAAACGATGGGACATCTCATCTCCTTTTCAGTTTTTCTCCACGAGCGTACACCAACTTTTGTGAGTGACATGTAGCTGTTGGTTTTGTGGTTGTACTACGGTACCTCAAAACGAGGACACCGGATGTCGCTGATGTGAGATGTTCTCATCATTCACTCTTTTTACATGAAAATAATAATAATAACATCATATCTAAAGAGCTGATAAACAGATAACTCACAAAGATCAAGACAATTCACTAACTGTTAGAAGTGTTTTCAGACTATGGTGTGAGCGTTGTTTTTGCCCTCGGTTTCGTCAGAGTTCCAACACCTAGATTGTTCCCACCAGGATAGTGCGATTTTGCTCTCTTAGGTTTTTATTCAAGGACGTTATTGTGGGATTATGACCCATATGCCGAGAGGGCTAAATTCTGACGAGGTTAGCTAAGAGGAGAGATAGTACACGAAAGCGGTCAGAACTGACGCACGTCAGAGGATACATGGCACAGAGACCAAGCAACAACCAATAATAAAGTGCTCACTCCATTTTTATTTACTCTGTATATTAGCTTTGCCTAAGTGAAACTTTAGAAATTTTGACCAGACTTATAGAAAAATTATTATCCTCTCCGATCCAAAATAAGTGATGTAGTTTTAGTTCAACCACAAAACTTGTTTTGGATCGGAGGGAGTGACATAGACACCACAAAATTAATTCCATTAGATTCATCATTGAATATATTTCCACATCATGTATATTTGTTACTGTAAATATTTATTTATTTTATAAAATTTTCAAACTTTATAAAGTTTGATTTCAGTCAAAGCTAATATGCGGAGTAAATAAAAAAAACAAAGAGTGTATATTGGAACAATAGCAAATACGAAAATGCCTCGTGTCCAGCATTCACCCCTTATGCGGGAAATGTAAAGAAGCATGTGGTATCAAGATCTGGTAACTCACAAAGATCCAAGAAATTCACTAATGGTTAAAAGTGTTTTATGTCTTCTATGCAACACTTTTGGTCGCTCCTGTTTTGTTGGAATTTTGACATGGTTGTTCTCGCGACGGTAGAGAGATTTTGCACACTAGTTTTACAGAACGTGTTATTATGAAAAAGTAACTCATTAGGTCATGGTAGACAAACTATCATGCATAGGAGAAGAATACAAATGGGCACATAAAAGGAAAAGTAAAGCCAGAAGACGATACTTCTATAAACTTTGTTATGAATTTGTGGGATGGACAATATTGTGAACTAAATTCCCAAACTATGCTCTAAAGTTTTATTGCGGGTTTTCCTCAAAAAATGTTTTTATTGTAGTGTTGCTGTGTGGTTACAAAGGAAGGAAAACAGGTGGTTTATCATATACTTTATGTCTTGACTTGGATATAGAACACTGCCAAAATCATGCCTAAGCAGAAGAATGATGGTTGGACTTGATTCCCGAAACCTAATAAAAACACATCAATCAAGATAACTAATGCAAATCATGCCTACCCGCAAAAGCATACCTTTAATAATTACTTGGATTTGAGAGCATACATAACACAAAACCATGAAAAACCTTTCCACAAGATTTATGTACTCCCTTCGTTCCACAATATAGTCTGCATATTTTTTGGGAAAGTCGAACTTTATCATTTTTACCAAGTTGTAGAAAAATATTTACACGTATAATATCAAATTGGTATCATTACATCTCGAGACATACTTTTATGCTATATCTATTTACTAATATTGTTATTAATTTTTTCTCAATAAACATGATCAAAATTTTGCACTGTTTGATTTTTGAAAATATTATATGCATTATATTATAGTAGAACAGAAGGAGTAGCACACAATGTTCTGTTTGTATTCTAAACATCAAGTGTGATCATCAAATGTAAATCTCTTGTTTTTTTGCGGGTGAAATGTAAATCTTGACGGAACCCACGCACTTGCCCGAAAGTGACCAAGGGGGTCAAGATGTTGAACAAGTTCACCCGGGTTGTTCGATTTGATGCGCAACTGCCCTAAAAATATGTACATATGTGTAATTGTTGCTAATAAAATACAATCACGTGAAAGTTTGTATGTTGTGTCCGTCTTGTAAACTGTTCGGCGTGCTAGATGAAGCAAAGTAATTTGCCTACTAACTTGCGAATTTATGATGTGACACTTATCTCTTAAAAAATGGAGGGAGAAAGAAACAAAAAAATCAGAAGTATTGTTCCAAATTGAATTCGAAATTTGCGAGCAGGCTCTGTTCTGGGCAGGGCAGCAAAAACTTGTGCTCCAGCAGTTGGTCGTGTTGCCGCTCCATCTCCGCCTTTGCCCAGTCCAGCACCTCGCCGTCGAGCACGTTTCCAACCTCGCCGCCGTAGTTCCAGTTGCTGCTGTTGCTCGAGCTCTCCCCGTAGCCCAGGTTCTCTGACACGTCCAGGACACAGCTGTAGTCGCCGGTGCCGAACCCGGCGTCGTCGTCCGCGCCCTCCTTGCCGCCGCCGAACTGCCCGTAGAATGCCGCAGCGTTCGCCGCGCTGAGGTCGTCGGCGAAGCCGCCGCCGTAGTCGGCGCACACCGGGAACGGGTCAAACACCAGCTGCTGCTTCTGAGCGAGGCCGCCGTCGACCACCGTGGAAAGGGCCTTACGGTCTTCCATTTCGACGTCCGGCAATGCCGCGGTGGCCATACCCTTGGGCTTCTGCGTGGCCGGGTCGATGCCCTGCTGCCGGAGCTTCTTCTTGATGCAGCTGTTCCAGAAGTTCTTGATCTCGTTGTCCGTCCGGCCCGGCAGGCGCGACGCGATCTGCGACCACCTGCACGCACACATGCATGAGTAATTCAGTAAATTCTCCCAAATCTTTATGCGCAATTAAACGAACTGAATGCATCGCACGGGCCGGCAAACCTGTTGCCGAGGATCTGGTGGAGCGCGACGATGTGGTCCTCCTCCTGCTGCGAGAAGCTGCCGCGCCTGAGGTCGGGGCGGAGGTAGTTGAGCCACCGGAAGCGACAGCTCTTGCCGCAGCGGTGCAGCCCGGCTAGCCTGGGGACGGAGCTCCAGCAGCCGACGCCGTGCCGGATGATGTGGTTGTAGAGCTTCTCGTCTTCCACGGGTGACCACAGCCCCTTGCGGAGCTTGGGCTGCCCCATGCCGCCGGAGGACGGATGTCCCATTGATTCGTCTGCCGCAGCAGCTGGCCGGCCTTGTAGCTACTTGGACGATCAAGCTAAGCTAGGCAACATCGATGGTTGCATAGTAGTAACGGCGATCGACGGTTGCGTCCTCCCGATCGATGGTCGCCTGGTGGGTATATATGGGGGAAGTGTGAGTGCCAAGAACCGCAAGCTAACTGAGCTCTGCGAGTGAGGTGAGGCCGCGATCAAGTGGGTTCGAAGCAAGGCTCGCAGAGGCAAAGACAATGGACTGGAGCAGAAGACACCAGCGGTCTGTGGAACACGGCGGAATAAAATAGTGGGCCGGGCGTGCGCGCGCTCTCGGCAAAGGAACCGTGTCAGGGACGGTGTTAGTTGGAGACATGGATTCCCACACGGCGGGAGATAAGCGCCGGTCGACCGGACCAAATTTGGCCAGTCGACCCACAGCCATCCGATTTAGTCTATTGTAAGTTTGTAACCGTGCGTTGCACTTTGTCAACACATGCACACGTAGGATTTCGTGCATCTTCCTTTGTCAACACATACAAAGGATTTCCTGCATCTTCTCGCTCTCTTTCATCTCGCCGGTCGCACATGCTCTCTGGTCGCTGCCTTCGCCGTCCGTCCTCATCGCCGGTCGCTGCCCTCGCCGTTTCCACCCATGCAACAGCTGCACCCTGCGGTTGCAGCTCCGGTGGCGATGGTCACAGCCTGCCGACGTGCTCGCCACCGCCCATGCCCGATTATGTAGCCCGTCAGTCGCACCTCACCGTTGCAACATCTTGCTCGCCCCTGTTCAGCAAATTCGAGTGTCGTTTCCAACACAAATCGTCTCATCGCTGAGCTATCGCAGCTCCGAAGTTGTCGGTTGTAACATTTTGTGATGCTGGTTGTAGTAGTGTGCGTGACGCCGATTGTACTGGAAAATGCGATGATCGTGCGATGTAGCAAAACGCGACACCGATTGTAGCCGGATGGGACATCGGTTGTAGCATGTAGAAATATCTCTTAAGAATTCTCGCAAACCTCTCAGAAATGTAAGATTTGGTGTACGAGAAAGTGAGAGGGAGCACTTGGGTGTTCTAGGGTTAGTATGAATGTAGCGGTCAACCCATCCACGAATGGATCGAGGGCTATATACACCACCCATGGACACTAGTAGAAAAGGGGTCAAATGTTCAGCTCGTTAGTCTCGGTTTGTATTTGAGCCGGCACTAATGTGACCAATAATGCCGGTTCCAATGGCTAGACGGGCGGCGCTCATTAGTACCGGTTCGTGGCGAACCTTTAGTACCGGTTCGTGCCACGGACCGGTACTAAAGAGGTGGTGGCCTTTAGTACGGGTTGGTGGCTCCAACAGGTACTAAAGACCCCCCCCCTTTAGTACGGGTTGGTGGCTCCAACCGGTACTAAAGGTGGTGGCCTTTAGTACGGGTTGGTGGCTCCAACCGGTACTAAAGACCCCCCCCCCTTAGTACCGGTTGAAGCCACCAACCGGTACTAAAGGTGGTGCGCTGTCATTCGCAGTGCACAATGTTTAGTCCCACCTCGCTAGTTGAGAGGAGCTCGCACCAGTTTATAAGCCCCGCCGCGGCTACCGTGTCGAGCTCCTCTCTAAGAAGGCCTTTGTGGGCCTATTGCAAGTCTTCTGCCCTGTGGGGCCTACTGGGCCGTACGGGTATGCATCCTGGCCCAACTAGAGGTTAGGTTTCTAATCATATGCATGCCGTGCCGGCCCAGTAGGCGGGCTGTTTTTGCTTTATTTCAAAAAAATATTAAAAAAACAACCAACCGGGACTAAGGGGGGGACCTTTAGTGCCCACCCTTTAGTACCGGTTCCAGAACCGATATTAAAGGTCCTTACGAACCGGTACTAAAAGTCATTTTTCTACTAGTGGGAACAAGCCGTTTTTTTAGTTGAAAACTTACAGTCGGACAGTCCAAGTGAAAAGTTCCCAGACAGTCCGGCCGTAGGATATTACAAACTAGTAGTTGACACAACAAGTGTAGTGATCATGGGCCGAACAGTCTGTGAGAATTGCGCGAACAATGTTGCTGGAGTCCCTCCAGAAAATGAGGCTCTCGGGTACAGCAACCCCTCTACCCGGACAATTGGCCGGACACAGACCAGACAATCCGACCATTGTCCAGCTAGTTTTTCCAACCTTCAGGTGGCAAAACATTCTACATGGACAATTTGGGCATATACTGCCCGAATGGTCCTGCGAGATGAAAATGGAGTTCTTTGGCAGGATTGATTATAGGATTAGGCTTTTGTCACTAGATTTTTTATGGTGGGCTAAGTAGGATGTGACTTGAGCAACTCATTTTGCATTTCCACAGTGATCCCCTCTTAATAGTGGGGGATCCCTAAACTCAAAACCAAATGGAAAATGTGTCTTTTCTTCAACAAAGCATATGTCTTGAATTGTCATCAGTTTAGATGGTCCATGATCCACACATAACTCATCCATGGGGACTAAAGTTGTAGGTATTATTATCAAATGTGTTAGTCCCCTATAACTATGTTTTAATCAAAATCAAAACAAGATTAAAGGCATGATTACACATTCAGTAGGGCTCATTTTAATGGCCATTTGCCTTTTCTGAAGAAAAAAGGCAAAGGTACACATTGAGGAGCAACTATGCTTTCCAGAGGCCATTCCCATGCACACTGCGGGAGCACTCGCCATCTGGCCACGTGTCTTGTGTGGCGAGTGCAATCGGGCAGGAGCTTTTTCCACCTTTTCTGGTATTATTTCCCAGTTTTCTCTTCTTCTTTTTTGGTTTTCCAAGTTTATTCGTTTTTTGACTTTTGGGTTTTCATGTTTTATTTTTATTTGTTATCTATCAGGAGAATATTTGGGATTTATGGCGGGATCACAGGTTAGTTCCTTTTGGGGGCATTGTTGTGCTTCACTCTATGGGAGCACATACTAGTTCACTTCGAAGTACAACTGTACTTCACACATGTGGGAGCAGAGGTTAATTCGCTTGGAAGCATATGTTAGTGCAAATTTAGAGCACATGTCACTTTGGAAGGACTAGGTGCCTAGAAAGTAAAGTACATCAAAATTCAAAATCTATCAATTTGGGATCTAGTTTTAAGAATCTCGACGCGAGGATACAATTGTGAAAATGGTTTTAATTGGGATGCACGGTTCAAGAGATATTTTATTTAAAAAAACTAATGTTGAAGGAAAACTTGTCCATCCCTTGTGGGCGTGAAAGAAAACACACAAAAACACTTTGCGTACAACAAAGTGACACCACTTGTTGCAACAAAAGTAGTATGAGGTAATCTTTGCAAAGGTATCCTTAATGAATGTCAACAAGTGGCTGACAATCCCCATAGGGGAAGGCCAGCACGAACGATTCGATCACTAGGATAAACACCACTCAGCGAACGTTTTGGTTCATATAGAAAACACCTCCCAGCAATTGTTTTGATGGACATTCCTTTTACAGCCCTCCAAGCCCAATCACCATTCCCTTTTGAACAAAAAATTAGCCAGATAGCAAAAAAACACATCTAAAGTCATGGAAAATGCTCCAAAAATCATAAAAGCATGGCCATACAAAAATAATTTTGCCATGCAATATAGCATAAGTTTGCCAAATTTCTATAGAGGCACACATACAAAAAAAATGTAACTGCCATTATGGTATGAACAACAACAAAATTTATAAATTTGCCATGCGAAAAAATACAAGTAATCTGCAAAAAGATGCCATGTTATGGAAACCAGAAAATTGTTAAATTTCCATGAGACTATGTGAAACTCCACTAAAAAATTACAATTGTCATGTGAGAAAAATGATACAATTATAAAAGTGCGATTGGGTTGTAAGAAAATCTGTGTTTGTAACATGGTAACATTTTTAAGATTTTTGCCATGAAATTTTTTACCATGTACTGAAAAGAATAAAAAATGGCATGCTACATGAATTGAAATTGCGATGGTCTAAATGATGAATTTCCATGGTCTAAATAGTGCCATGATACATAAAATACTTTAACAGAGCATGGCAAAAATTTGAATGGTGCACAGATTTTTGGCCTTGCTACATACTCCCTCCATCCCAAATTACTAGTGTTACATACATCCGCATCTAAACAAATTTATGACAAGTAATTTGGGATGGAGGTAATACAATAAACAACCGTGTCCAAACCAATAAAGTTGTCATGGCTTGAATAGTAAAAGTAGCATGGTATAATGAAAAAAAAATTGCGATGGACTAAACAAACTTCCATGCCACAAAAAAAACTAACATTGTGTAATTAATAAGTTTTCCATGGTATAACTAATAATATTTCCATTATCTAAAGAATATTTTTTCATGGTACAAAACTTAAAATTGCCATCATGTAATTTAAAAAAACGCCATCATCTAACTAATAAAATGTCCATGGTACCTAAAATGAAACTACCATGTCCTAAATAGTAAAGACACCATGGTCTAGTTAGTAAAATTGCCATGGTGTCTATAATAAAGTTGCAGATGGGAAAACTAGCATGAGTAACAAACATTTTATGATGTTATGATGATTATCTACAAAATTTCCATGAGAAGCAAATTGACATGTGAACATTGCAAACGTTCGTGCAATTTGCCATTTGAAAATTTCCAAAGAAGATCATACTACCCCCCCCCCCCTCCCCCGCCGTCGCCAAAGGAAAAAGAAATAAGTATTTTGACATGTTACATAAATTGAAATTGTCACGGTCTAATTTTTAAAATTGCCATCCACTAACTAATAAAAATGCCCTGGTACCTAAAATAAACTACCATGTTCTCAATAGTTAAAATTCCATTGTCTAATTACTAAAATTACCATCATGCCTATGTGTGATGTTGTGGTGATTATCCATAGAATTGCCGTGAGAAACTAATTGCCAGGTGAACAATTCAAAACAATTATACAAATTGTCATGCGAGCGATCAAAAAACATTCATACTATTAGCCAAAGGAAAAGAGATATACACTTTTTCTGTACAAGTTGTCATCACAA